CGGTCAAAAGGGCTATTTTCGTTGAAATATGCTGCCTGAAACTTTTCGAGATTACAATACTTCCTTTTTACTTCGTACAAGGAAGTAAAAATACCTAATGGCTCTACAACAAGGGGAAAGATATTGAAGCAAAGACATATATTTTCTTTACATCTGGTGTTACCACTGATGATTTGATTTTTTTACTTTTTTCTGTATCTTAGGATGTTTGTTTTTCAGGATTGTAAGTGGTTTACATTAATACGAATTTTTAAGGAGAGTATTAGAAGATAGTTAAAATGCAAGAAATCTAGCGATGGCTAAGGCGAAAGGTTCTTTTGAATTAAACTGTAGTTCTTCACTTTTTCAACTCCCGAAATGGCCGCAAACTTGTTTTTCAAGCATTTGTCGAGAATTTCCAAACTCAAAAATTATTCAGTTGTTTCATCACCAACAATATTGTCCAGTCAAACTTAGGGAAAACCACGAAAGCCCCCATGCATCCAGCTCATTTATATCATACCTTTATATTATTTATATCATGTATATCAAACCTTTCAGATTTTTTTAAATTTGCTTTTTCTTTATTTTTTATAAACATTTCCTTTTTTCCATGGCCGATAAACGTATATACCAATTTTCAAAAGTATAGGTGTACCAAAAGGGGCTATACATAGGTCTAAATAAAGCAATAACCACCCTGAACGTACATTGCGAAGAATTGCTGTTATCTAGCAGAGGGCTGCTGTGATTTAATTCAAGTAGTGCAGCATAATTTATCGTTAAATAGCTATTAATGTGCATTTCGTGTTTTGTTTGCACATTTTCAGGCGTTCTTTTCAGTTTTCACATATTTTGTTCGTACTTTTTATTTCGAATAAAATTACAGATTAAGTAGCGCATCTGTAATTTAACCAAAGATAAAAATCTACCTAAATAATTCTGAAAATGAAATGAAATGAAATTTTTCCATCGAAAAGAAAATTTTCTTTGAAAGGGAAAAAGAACTGTAGACAAAGACCTAATTATATATTATTTTACTTTTCTTTTTATATATTTATTCCGGTTTTAAGAGGGAAAAAAAACCTTGTTCTGAAAATCAAGAAAAAAAAAATCTTATTCTATAAATCTTTAATTATTATTGCTCAGTTCCATAAAGCAAAAATTATCGTCATTGCAATTCTTGAAATTCTTTACCCGCTTTCATTTTCTTAAAATTCTTACCCTCGAAGATTTTTTTCTTAATATCCTAATAAGCGAAAAATAAAGAGAAGTACCAAGAAAAGTAATCTTTCCTCGAAATTCAAAAATTTAATCAGCAGCGACTATAATTTACTTAGCAAACTATTGTTTTCCCTGGTGCTTTGTTAAAAGAATTTCATTCGTAACGTAGTACTGATAATCTTACTCTACAATTTTTATGTGAATTTATTTTATTACTATTTTTCCGCTGTGGATAGGTGTTTTTCGAGGAACCTCGTCTCGATTTGTAACCTTGAATACCGATTTTTTAGACATTCATATTCCAGGGCAATTGTTTTTGGCAAACTAAAAAGACATGGCATGTTTCTTCCACCGCAAGAAGACGGTGTTATGTAGGCACGTGGCTCCGGGACCAAACGATTAATTTGTCTCATAACTTTTGACATCAATGGTGATTGTCATGCATTTTTTCCTTAGAGTAGTTTATTTCTTAATTTTCTTGAATTCAGTTTTACTTATTATCTATTCCTCTCTACATATAATAAAAGAAAGAGTCTCTGTGTGTATGTCTTTTGTATGTCTTTTTTGCTGCGCGTAAGCTAATAGACCTACGGCTACGAAATTTGGTACACAGGCGCATCTAGACAAGAGCCAGTGCACCTCGAAGCGATTTTTTTCGAAATTCCAGTTAGAAATTTTTTAATTTTATGTTTTGTGACGAAATCGCATCACTTTGAGACGTAACGGGCTATAGGAAAGCGAGATTTTACTCTACACACTCCAATATCACATCGTCATGAAACGTACGAAATTAGCTATTTTACGAACTTAAAATAAATTTCGTGTTTGAATATAAATCGATTCAATACGAAGTTATTTAACAAAGGGAGCTTAACACCTTTTCAACGGGATTTTTTCTAAAAAGTTTATTTTTAAAAATGTACAGTTTATTTTTCTTTAATTTTTGGACACGTTAAACTCTCATCCTTGCGACTGCTTTTACAAAAAGAATTTTGGAAAAATGGTAATATTTTGTATTTTTAAAGAATTTTTTAAACGAAGCTTCCGAGTACACTTCTCACATCTCACATCTTTAAAAATGTGATTTTGGCAACAATTTCCATTTCTTATTGTTGCTGATATATTTTGATGAAATCGCATCATTTTGAATAATTTCATTCTTTTAGAAATATGGGTTTGGCAACCATTTTGCATCGTATTTCTTATGTCACTGTTTTTAAGAGATTGGCATATTTCATTGTCATTTTTTTATATACCATATAATACATTTTTATTGATTTTTTGTTTGATAAAGTTGTTCTGCAGAGTAAAATTCTGCGCGGAATTTTATGTTTTTTGAGTTGCTTTCATGTTATTTTTTGCTTATTTCACTGTTTGTAAGATTATTGAAAAGTTTTGCATGATTTTTTTTTTCTTCAACGGAAAGTTGGTTAATTTTTTTATTAGGATAATTAATATTTGATTAAGGAATATAGCTTATTTCATTGTAATTTTGTTCTCTGTAAAATATTTAAGATAAATTATATGAAATTGCTATACTTTGCTTAAAATTCTACGCAGTTTTTTTTTTTTTTTTTTTTTTTTTTTTGTATTTTATACTATTTATTGCTCATTTCAGTGTTTTTAAGATATTGAAAAGTTTTGAGTAATTTTTTTAGGAAGCAAAGTTCTTTACCTCCTTTATACCATTTGAGTTAAGGTTAAGATTTTGCAAAGGCAAGTTGGTTAATTTATTTATTAGGATAATTAATATTTGCATTAAGGGATATTGCTTATTTCATTTTAATTTTGTTATACCTAATAACTTTTTTTTATGAAGTTGTTCTGCAGAGTAAAATTCTACGCAGTTTTTAAATTTAACGTTTGGTGTTCCCTTCAGCCATTTTTCCGGTACATGTAAAAGCCAGACGAAGGCTGGCAGCGAAGCTGCTAGTTATATATAACGGCGTCAGCTTTGAGAGGAAAAACAGAATACATTTCTAAGAATTTATATAGCATTTTGACTTTTACAATTTATACCAGGGGTTCTCAACCGGGGGTACGTAAGAGAAAAATAGGTGGTACGAAAAGGAACAAAGTAATTTTAACAATTAAATTCAAAAATTAAAACCCCAACATCCTGATTGAGTTTTTTCTCCCACACTCGTAAATTTATGGAATCTGAAGCTTTGTTCAAGAGTGGTGGTAGTAGTAGTACTTTGTGGTGATGGTAGTGGAACTTTGTGGTGGTAGTACTAAAGGTTTAAATTTTTATTTAGGTGGTACGCGTTAGTCAAAACGTTGAGAACCGTATTGCCAGGCCCGGTAAGATTGCTTCCCCTATTAAAATCTGCGCACGTGTGTTTGTTTGTGGTATTATCTCCTCCGGAACTGCGGGGAGTTGAGCTTCGAAGAGAAAGAGAAAAAGGTACTCCCCGTCGAAAATTTGTGAGAAGCCATTTCGACCATTCCTATCTTCGCACGGCTTTAATTAGCCGAGATATTAATTAAAAACTCGGAAAAACTCTAATTTTCGCCCTCATTTTACCGAGTGGCAACAGTCTCGCACGCTGTCGATGAAAATCTGCTTTATTTCGAGAAGTGTTGCCACTGCTCTCTTTCAAATCGTAGAGTTTCTTAGTAAAAAATTTAATTTCACAAAATATGAAATAAAAATAATACTGCCAAACACATAATATATTATTCCCTATTCCAAAAAATGTGGGAAGCCATTTCGACCATTATCATCTTCGATCGACTTAAATGACCCAAGATAGTAATAAAAAACTCTGAAAGCGCTAATTTTCGCCTCATTTTTCCGAGTGGCAACAAAAATTTATTACGCGCTGGAGATAAAAATCTGTGCATTATTTCGAGAAGTGTTGCCACTGCTCGATTTCAAATCGTCGAGTTTGTTAATAAAATATCTAAGTTTCACAATGAAACAAAAATAGCATTGACAATCATTCAAATACATTATTCCAGATTCCAAAAATTCGCAGGAAGCCATTTCGACTACTCCCATCTTCGTACCACTTTAATCAGTCGAGATATTAATTAAAAACTTTGAAAACAATAATTTCCGCACTTTTTTTTCCGAGTGGCAACAGTCTCGCGCCTTGGAGATGAAAATGCTTTATTTGGAAACGTGTTGCTACTGCTCGTTTTCAAATCTTAAAGTTTGTTAATCAAAAATTTGTAAGTTTTACTAAATCTATAAATATAATGAAGAATGTCAGTTTGTGTGTATGTTCCCGCTATTGATTTCTGATCCATTTTTATGATCCATTTTTTTGCACATTTAATCGACTACAATTGAATATAGGTGAAATATTGGATGGGACTTGAGCTTTGATGACCGTTTGATTAGAAAGTCGAAAATCATTCAAAATTGCGTGCCATTATTGCTGACATAATGAGAGAGAATTAGTTTGTTTTTCTATGTGGGTCCCATATCGCATTACCCTGAAAAATATATGAATATGAATTGCATATTTTGCATCGTTATTAGAGAAGGATTAGAGCGGTATCGTTCTGTTGTTAGATACATTACTCTAGATCTAACTTAACTGGCATGCATACGAGCCAGTTTCCCTTGGAAAGTCCTCCACGAAGGCATCCCTTCCCTTAGGCAGATAGCCTTCGAGGCTTTGCCGTAATTAAATAACTTAACCTAACCTAACCTAACCTAACTGGCATCGAGTATTTCCGCTGGTTAATAATAGTGTAGAAGATAAAATAAAAATATTATTATTTGTTCTTTACTTAACACGATTTTTTTCCCCAAGAATTTATGTGTGTTTTTTTATTCCTTCCAGGGTCCATATTTTCAAAACTGCTATGGAATAAATACGAAGAATACCAAAGTTTATATCTCAGCATTACTCTGCCGTAAGTATTTCGAGCTCCAAATTGGAACTTGCATCAAAATTTTCTCATACTTCTACTCATATACAGGGTAAGAATTGTAAGAATTGGAGGCTCCCTTCAGCCCACCTGGACACGAGTGTCCACATAGCTCAAAAGAAGGGGCCCCGTATCTCCACAAACGAGGGCAGCCAGTAAACCCAGCCACCCCCAAACAACAAACAAAATACTAATCAAAACTAAATAAGCACATCTAACACAAAATTACAGACTAACAAACAAACAAAAAAAAATCCATAAACACAAATTCACAGCATAGAACACCACAGATATCTAAAACCCATATAAATACAGAATTCAATTTTAACAGAAAATTCCCACTAGCGCCCTATTTTCATTCATATACAGGGTGTCCACTAAAGGAGTCCCTGATTTCAAAATTACAAATCTCGAAAACAGATCGGTAGAGGAATACAGTAACAGGGAAAAGTGGACGGAGCACCAGAATTTTATCAATGACTTTTACAGATATTGCTCCGCCGCACTATTGTACCGCGTTTGGTTGGCCCGCATCAGAAGCCAGACTAACAAGTCATTTACAGTTACTTTATAGTAATTCTAGACTTTTGTATTGAGTATACGATTACAATAACTTGGTATGCCATTATTACAATGAACTTCATCGACTGACAAAAGTTGAATTATGACAGATTAATGTAACATATATCGAACACATTCGTATATCATACATACAATACATAATAGAATAACTACAATACATAATACATAATAGAATGCATAATACATAACTACTATACAATACATAATACATAATAGAATCATAATACATAACTACTATACAATACATAATACATAACTACAATACATAATAGAATAACTTAATTTCGTACTAAATGAATTTAAGATCATGCACAATACATTTACATTATCTAATTACATCAAAGTACATTAAACATATTTAAGAGACTAATTATTGTGGAATATTTTGTGCGTCTCCTAGTACATTGTCGTATTTCAAAGGCAATTATCTTGTTAATACATTGGTATATTTACTGTGAAAGCTGTAAAATTGTTGCATAGGTTTGAAATAATAGTTGCAAAAGCTTCCAACAGATGGCGCTGTACTCAGGCTCCTGGTGACTTTAAATTTTGAATGAAAACATGTCTAGGCTGCTTTACGATATTTTCTGCGTGGTGGAGCGCTTCAAACCAGTCTCTGCTGAAATTCTTCTGACGGATTTCCTTGGATTTTGCTGAATAATTCCAGAAACAGTTGCCACATTTTCAGAAGTAACTACAGATTGCTTACGACGAAAACTCTCTACAAGATCATTGGCCATGCTGTCTGTCCGTTGGACATTTAGCTAAGAGCTTGTGAATGGTTTTCTCATCGGGTCTTTTGGGAACATCCAGTCCTGTTTGGAAACTACACCTTGTTGCCACAGGACTGTGATTTAACTTCTGGTATTCCAGTACCACAAACACGCCTTGTTCAATGGAATAAATGAATCCTTCAACCTCTTCTTTCCTTACCCTAACCTTTACTCACGTTTCAAATGTGGAAGTGGTTGCTCTCACTCCAATTCCCGTCGTTCGTCGCGATTATCCTGTACAATCATTAGGTTATTTCGAAGAAGGATAGATGAAAAATGAGCAATGCCCTCGCTGGGACTCGAACCACGGACCTCTCGAATTCGCGTCAAGCGTACTGACCACTACACCACGAAGGCATGCTAAGAAGGCGGAAGACGTATCTTATAATCGTGCTAAGTTACACGACTTGTTCCCAATAAATATGCTTGTTGCTTTCCTCTATCGATCTTCGTTTCCAAGATTTTTAATTTTAAATTCAGGGATCTTTTGGCTGGACAGCCTGTAGATTGAAAAAATTAGACTATTTTGAATATTTTTACTCTCTTCAACCTCCAGCGTTTACCTGATCTCTAGGCAAGGTTGTTTTTTTTTTGGTTTGGTTTTTTTGTGGTTTTTTTTTTTTTTTTTTTTTTTTTTTTTTTTTTTTTTTTTTTTTTTTTTTTTTTTTTTTTTTTTTTTTTTTTTTTTTTTTTTTTTTTTTTTTTTTTTTTTTTTTTTTTTTTTTTTTTTTTTTTTTTTTTTTTTTTTTTTTTTTTTTTTTTTTTTTTTTTTTTTTTTTTTTTTTTTTTTTTTTTTTTTTTTTTTTTTTTTTTTTTTTTTTTTTTTTTTTTTTTTTTTTTTTTTTTTTTTTTTTTTTTTTTTGTTTTTTTTTTTTTTTTTTTTTTTTTTTTTTTTTTTTTTTTTTTTTTTTTTTTTTTTATTTTTTTTTTTTTTTTTTTGTTTTTTTTTTTTTTTTGTTTCTTTTTTTTTTTTTTTTTTTTTTTTTTTTTTTTTTTTTTTTTTTTTTGTTTTTTTTTTTTTTTTTTTTTTTTTTTGTGTTTTTTTGTTGTTTTTTTTTTTTTTTGTTTTTTTGTTTCCCGTAAAAAAATCTGATGTGTACACCACATGACTTCCTTGTACGAAATATTAAATTATACGCATTTTTTCTTGCATTTCATTTAAGCTTATAGGATTAAATTAAACCTGCTTCGCCGACAGCGCATAAACCACAATAGAATAAATGCATTTTTTAAAATTTACTCTAGTATTTGTTTACCATAGCGACACTCTGGCGCTAGATTCACTTAACAGTATTAATAATTATATAACAGTTAATTTATATAATAATTATATAACGGAAACTAAGTTAACTGTTATATAATCGAATAATTATATAACAGTTAACTTATATATTTCGTTCATATTATAACTCATAATGCACAAAATTTATATCATTTAAAGAATAGAATTATCTAATCGTTGCCACATGTTCTATTCAAATACTATAATAAAGCTAGAATGATGTATAAAAGAAATTAAGCAAACAAAACAAAAAAGAAACAGTTTTTCACAGACGATTGAGTATTTCTCATTTAATTAATTCAGTTCTCACTTCGCGAGAAGGCAAAAATACATAAAAACTCAAAATATCTATATTAAAAATTACGAAGTAAATCTGAAACACTTATTTCCTCGAAAAAATTCCAGAAAGAATTAAGCATGATTTAATTGGCAATAATAAATGAATGCGTTATCTTTGTTGTTGCGAAGCTAAGTTTCTCTAGATTGGCAACAAATCCACTAGTCTCCTGTTTCAAATGTAAACATCAATGGCCGCCATAAAAAAAGCTTAGCGGCAATTAAATAACTTTAAAATTGCTGATAATTCTAAAAATATTGCACACAGATTTACTAAAGGCATAAAAACCTTAACCGGAAGATAAAAACAACATAATTCAATCATTTTTTAAAGCAAAAAAATGTACAATTTACAAACATATAAGAGTAAAGAAACTGAGATCACTGAGCCGGGTAAACAGAGTGGATATATATATAAATATATTTATATACGTTTGGGTGCGGCCGATTGCAACCAAAATACGAGGTGCACATCTACATGTTATAGCAGTCCTATATACAAAATTTCAACGTTCTGAGGCTACTCGTTTTTGAGTTATGCGAGATACGTACGTACGTACATACGTTCGTACAGACGCCACGAAAAATTCTCTTCAGAAAAATTCATTTTAAAGCAGTTTTTATAATTTTTTTGAAGGAAAAGAGTATTTTTATTCTGTCCTTACGTACAGATATCACGCAAAAACATCGTTAAATTGCATTCGATAGCGGTCAAAATGGATATTTTCGTTGAAATATGCTGCCTGAAACTTTTCGCGACTGCAATACTTCCTTTTTACTTCGTACAAGGAAGTAAAAAGTGGAAATCAATCCATATTTCCAAAATGCAAATTTAAAATTTGTCCGAATATTTTTCATGAATAGCAGCTCCTAGTAGGTAATAATTAAAGCTTTTTCTTACAGCGTCTTTTTAATTCAGTTTACACTTCAACTAAGTGTAACAAGCGATTTTTCATTTACATTTCGAATTAATAGAAACTTGGTTCTGAAAAAATAAACAAAATTATTGAAGCTTGAAATGTACCCAAAAAAATTTCTTTATCTCGCAAAATAACGAGAACCTGAAACAGCCCAAATCCAAATGTGGTGAATGCATGAATGCAATAAGAATTAATTTAATACTAAAAGAAAATTTTTATGAATTAAATTAAGCGTTCTTTTAAAATTTAATAAACAATAATCAAAGAACAGAGATTTACAGTTTTTTTAACTAAAAATAAAATATATAAATCATTTTTTCTTAGTTAATGAAATGTTTTCAAACACGACTGGTGTCCGAAATTAAAATTCCAAACTCATTTTTTTTGCGGTAATTTGAAATAGCTAGGACTAAAGTTTAAAAAAAAACTGGTGCCATAAGTGATCTGGGGAATTTATAAACATATAGTGGTTGTTAAAGAGACTTCTCAGAATATATTTTTATTTCCTTGTACTACTGTATTGAAATCGCGAAAAATTTCGGGGACCATATTTCAACGAAATTATCCATTTTGATCGCTATCGAATGCAATTTAACGATGTTTTTGCGTGACATCCGTACTTAAGGACAAAATAAAGGACTCTTCCCCCCCCAAAAAAAAATTATAAAACTGATTTAAAAGGAATTCTGAAGAGATGTTTTCGTGGCGTCTGTACGTACGTACGTTATCTCGCATAACACAAAAACGAGTAGCCTCAGAACGTTGGAATTTTGTATTTAGGACTGCTATACCATACAGATGTGCACCTCTCTTTTTGTTTGCAATCGGCCGCACCAAAAGTATATAAATATATATACATATCCACTCTGTTACTCGGCTCAGTCAGCTTGATTTCTTTATTCTTATATGTTTGTAAATTATATATTTTTTGCTTTAAAAATGATTGAATTATGTTGTGCTTATCTTCCGGTTAAGTTTTTTATGCCTTTACTTAACCTGCATGCAATAATTGTGGGAATTATTAATTTAAAATTTAGTCTAGAAATTTAGAATTTTAGAATCTTAGAAATTTAGAATTTAAAATTTAGTCTAGAAGAGAAACACGCTAATGTGACAATCAAAATCGTAAAAACAACCTTGTATTTAGCGTAAGTATAATGAAACACTCGATCGAATTCGAGGGCAGCTAAAGGTCCCTCCTCATCAGGAGAAAGAAATACCTAGAAAGAAGAAAATAAAGGAGAAGGAGTCTCAGAAACACGTGGTCCTTATCAGCACTGCACGTGGTTATAATTGGTGGCCAGTGCAACTCTGATTAAAAATCCAGTTATAACCACGTGCAGTGTTGATAAAGACCACGTGTTTCTAAGACTCCTTCTCCTTTATTTTCTTCTTTCTAGGTATTTCTTTCTCCTGATGAGGAGGGACCTTTAGCTGCCCTCGAAATCGATTGAGTGTTTCATTATACTTACGCTAACTACAAGGTTGTTTTTACGATTTTGATTAATTTAAAATTTTTTCAAGTGTGGCTAAGCCTAATTTTTGTTTAGCATAGCACCCAAATTTGTTTACATTTGAAACTTAGCAGAATAGTGGATTTGTTGCCAGTCCAGAGAAACTAAGTTTCGCAACAACAAAGTAATATCTTCTTTTATGATTGCGAATTAAATTATGCATAATTCATTCCGGAATTATCATTTAAGTTACTACTGGCTTGTTATTGCGTAGAAACTGTAATTTTAATTGAAAAATTGTTTTTTAATTGTTTTAACTGTACTTGGTGTTTTATGTTTTTCTGTATCCTCCAAATTTTAATGAAAATATTTTGAATTTTCGCTGGGAATCGAACCACGGACCTCTACCGGCCCAGCGTGCAGAACCATTACACCACGAAGGCACGCTAGGAAGTGCGAGAGAAATACCTAGGCATAAAAAATAGCATAGAGCGCAGTATATGGCATAACGTTATTTGTAATTCTGAGCTCTAAATGTTTACGATTTGATATATGATTATCTTCTATTCTGTCGACCTAGGTAAAATTTCGTGAAAAATTCGTGACTTACATCTTTCTTTCTGGAGACTCTGTTACGATGTTATGATCCATTAAAGAATTAATCGAAATTACTCAGGAGCAGAAAATTTTAGTTACGGGTGATAATAAGCGAAGATAGAGGTCGCAGTTCCCGATGTGTGTGTGTGATTATGGCGAAGCCTCTAGGGCTATCTGCCTAAGTGGAGAGATGCCTTCGTGGAGGACTTTCTAAGGGAAACTGGCTCGTATACACGTTACACATGTTGAAACCACAAAAACGCCCATGCAAGCCAGGCCGTTCGCGGGATTCTAACCTCGGACCGAACTACCAGTGTTCAGCGACTTTACCGCTCGACCGCTGTTCTCGATGAGCCTACTCTACAAAATCAAATCTACTATGATGGTAAAATACAATGTTAAATATCAGTCAGTTCTGATCTAAATTTTTTTTTTATCTGTTGCTAAACGTTTCTAACGGGACTTAGAAAAACTTTCTAACGAGAACTACAGTTTCTAAAGACTTTCTAACGAGACTTTTCAGATCCCAAAAAAGTCTAACTGTTTCTAAGTAGACTTAGTCTAGTTTTTCTTTTCTTAAAGTTTAAATTATGTGAATGTAAACGCCGGACCGCAGTCCGGATGCAGCCTGCAAATATCTATTTATCCTGCCCCAGATGTTTCATTAATTTAATTTTTCTATGGGGGAGGGATCGTTTTGGGTGGAGTCATAAAAAAGTCCTTTATAGTGTAACAATAATTTATTAACAGGTTTTCTTTACACACGAACATCACATTTAATTTTAAGAATATTACAGAAGAAAAGTCTGATACAACCTAACAGGTTGATTACTTGGTCTTTACTGAAGTCTTTCTCTGGATACTCACCAGAGGGCACTCTCGTTGCGTCAGTTAGTCCAACATAGTTTATATTAACAGCACAGTTTATAGTAAAGGCTTGGTTACGGTTTAATTTTAATTATTTTCACTATATTATATTTTAACTAATTAACTATTACTGTACTGGATAATTATTTATAGCTCAACTGTTACTAATTTTATTCAATAATATTTAACATGCAGCTTATTTGACAAAAACAAAAAGAAAAGGAAAAAGAGAAAGTGGAAAAAAAGAATTTCTTTTTGGATTAAAACAAAAAGTATTGTTACCAGAAAAATGAAAATGTAGGTAAATGTATTGCAAAATGTCGCTCAAATATGCAAAAGTGAATTACACTTTTATGTGACAAAATTTTAGCTGTGGTATTCTCGATGCTTTTTATGCTGATTATTTTGGAACAGGGATGCTAAACATCTATGGAGGGTTTAATTGGTTCTGTGATGAACATGTATTTAATACCCTTTTTTTTTCAAGCTGAAAACCAAACTACTGTTATTATGCTCCATTACATAACTTCAGTATCTATTGGAAAATAGCAGCAAAAATGTTACAGTTTAAAATTCAGAGGAAAATTTTTTTTTCAAAATCTTTTTTTTCAAAATCTTTTTTTCTTACTCAATAGAAATAAATTAATTTTGATTAAATCTGTTTGGCAAGAATGGACATTTTTGATATAAAGACTAAAACTACTGTACATTTTATGGAATAAAACAGAACTATCTAACGTTTCTTTGGTATTGATTTGGACTGTAAATAAATGTGAATTTAATAAATTTTTTTCCAATAGAACATGTAACTATAAATTAGCGTATCAAAATTATGTTTCTATGACGCGTTGCAAACATTTAGAAATATTGTTTCTGTGTGACATAACTATGGTATTAACCAAGATGGGGAATGTTTCAGGCTCTTGAAAGAGAAGCAGACAACTGATGAAGATTTCGTCGCATTGTGCCAATTAAGAAGAGGAGCTGCCAAGTATTCCATGGAGGATTTGCTTCACTTACCGGTGAGTACTAAGAACTGCTTTTCTGATCCTCAATCCTTCTAATGAAATTCTCAGAATTTAAGGTTAACCTTATCAGGACTTGTGTTTCTCTTGATTTGCTTTGGAAACATGGTATGTCCTGAATAAGAACAGGGAGCTTACTCAAGCTATGTTCCAGATTTGTGTATAACAGACGACACACAAGCAGAAAGGGTATACGAAACCCTTTATTTTCAATACTTTACAGGTACTTCCGAACTTCGGAATACAGAGACCAACCACTTGTGGTCTGAACGTAAGAATGTAAAAGTAACTAAAACTCTAACTAAAAGCTAACTTTGAATTAGTATACAAATGCCTAGCACTAAGACTGGCCTTTATTTAAAAGGGGTACGTATGTAGTACGCCGAGCTGCTGAAACTAAAATACGTTCTTAAATATCAAGAGGGCTAAACCTCTGGCGTTAAAGGCAACCAGCAACCGAGTGAAAACTCGTAAAACTGCAGTGGCAAGCGGCTTGCTTCCTAAAAACTCCTTCTCTCTCCGTAACTCTTGGCAAAAGGCCACAACTTAAATACTTGGGCGTTAGCAAGACAATTTGCATAAACAAGTTAAAGCAATTAATTCTGGCCGGAAGTAGAAAATAAGAAGTGATAGTACAGTTTTAAAATAAAATAAACTTTAGTAAAACTTAGGATCCTTACAAATAATATGTAATAAAATATTATAATATATATGTAAATAATATTAAAATATATGTAACAAATAATATGTAATAAATATTATAATATATATGTAAATAATATTATATAATATATGTAAATAATATTAAAATATCAGATAAATCTGATTCAAGTGTTCGAGCAAGTTCAGGCAGGGTTTTTATAGATTTTCACCTCCCTTCGAGAACATTGTAGGGCAAACCGGTAAGAACTCGTTCTAGAATGTTCTCGCTCCGCCTGTAGCATATCGCCATTTTTGTCGCCAAATGGGTGATTTCGCTCCAAATCTGGCAACCCTACCTTTCCTTGCCACTTTCTGGCACGTCCAATCGCAGCTGGACATTTCGGAACAATATTATTCCTAAATGAGACGTCATGTAACTATTTCTTATGAAATTATATTTTTTAGAAATTTATCGAAAAAAAACTTCGTTTTTTTTTTTTTTTTTTAAATTGGTCATATGGAAAATGAATATAGCAACTTATTTTTTATTAAACTGTTAAAAAAATGCTCAATTTAATTACATTTAAATATGCAGCTTTTACAGGAAGTTGGAATACAGTATATATTTTTCGATAGCAGTGATTTTCGTGAACGTATTGAAAGCGCACGCAAACTACGTTGCAGGGCATTTAATCTTTCTGTATTGAACAGCTGACTGATTCCACCGCACACACACATTCGCCTTTTCTAACATAAAATGAGTCTGACGCGAATAAATGATGAATCGAAATAATGTAAGTAGTATTTTTTTTTTTTTTAATTACCTGCTGGTGTTTGTATAGATATGGATAACGCCTTCGTATAAAGTGACGTCATCCGGTAGAACGCACCTTACGGAAATAACGCTATTAACCACACTGATTTATATCGTGACGGATAATTTAGCTTTTTTTTTTTTTTTTTTTTTTTTTTTTTTTTTTTTTTTTTTTTTTTTTTTTTTTTTAAAGAACTAGTATTTTCCGTCTCATTATTTTGTGAGACGATATTTTTTTTACCTTGCATATTTCTTTTATCTCGTCTAGAAAGAAACACATAATCAAAACATAAAAAATCTGACGTGTACACCACATGACTTCCTTTTACGGAATATTAAATTATACGCATTTTTTCTTGCATTTTATCTAAACTTATTAAATTTTTATTTCGATTGAATTAAATCTACTTCGCCGACAGCGCATAAACCACAACAGAATAAATGCATTCTTTAAAATTCACTCTAATATTTGTTTACCATAGCGACACACTTGCGCTAGGTTCACTTAACAGTATTATATTTCGTTCATATTATAACTCATAATGTACAAAATTTATATCATTTAAAGAATTATCCAATCGTTGCCACAATACTATAATAAAGCTAGAACGATGTATAAAAGAAATTAAGCAAACAAAACAAAAAAGAAAGAGTTTTTCACAGACGATTGAGTAGTTCTCACTCAATTAACTCAGTTCTCACTTCACGAGAAGGCAAAAATACATAAAAACTCAAAATATCTATATTAAAAATTACGAAGTAAATCTTAAACACTTATTTCTTCGAAAAAATTCCAGAAAGGATTAAGCATGATTTAATTGGCAATAATAAATGAAGGCGTTGTCTTTGTTGTTTGGAAGCTAAGTTTCTCTAGATTGGCAACAAATGCACTAGTCTGCTGTTTCAAATGTAAACGTTCAATGGCCGCCATAAAAAAAAGGCTTAGCGGCTCTTAAGCACTTTAAAATTGTTGATAATTCTAAAAATATTGCATACAGATTTACTAAAGGCATAAAAACCTTAAGCGGAAGATAAAAACAACATAATTCAATTAATTTTAAAGCAAAAAATGTACAATTTACAAACATATAAGAGTAAAGAAACTGAGATCACTGAGCCGGGTAACAGAGTGGATATATATATAAATATATTTATATACGTTTGGCGCGGCCGATTGCAACCTGAATACGAGGTGCACATCTACATGTTATAGCAGTCCTATATACAAAATTTCAACGTTCTGAGGCTACTCGTTTTTGAATTATGCAAGATACGTACTGAATACTCAATGATCTGTGAAAAACTGATTCTTTTTTGTTTTATTTGCTTAATTTCTTTTATACATCGTTCTAGCTTTATTATAGTATTTGAATAGAACATGTGGCAACGATTAGATAATTCTATTTATTAAATGATATAAATTTTGTGCATTCTGAGTTATAATATGAACGAAATATAATACTGTTAAGTGAATCTAACGCCAGAATGTAGCTATGGTAAACAAATACTAGAGTGAATTTTTATAGAATGCATCTATTCTATTGTGGTTTAAGCCCTGTCGGCGAAGTAGATTGAATTCAGTCCAATAAGTTTAAACGAAATGCAAGAAAAAATGCGTATAATTTAATATTCCGTACAAGAAAGTCATGTGGTGTACACATCAGATTTTTTTTTAATCAAGATTCCCAAAGTATTGAAATTTATCCCAAATCGGCAAACATGAACACATGAAAAAAAAGTATACGTTAGCAATTTATGCTGAAACACACATGACGGTGAATGTATTACAACAATGATAAAAAAAAATACAAGTTTTTTTTTTTGCTTTTGCCGAGGTGTCAGAAATGTGCGTGCGAATTTATGACCGGGGAAGAGACAATTCGCCAGCAATGCTTTGGAAACAGAGCAATTAGCGGCAGTCACTTTTTTTGAGTGTTTGCAGATACGGTTTAAGTGGCCTGTGTCATGGAAAAGAGGAGTGAGATGCAGCCAGACGATCTCCTGCGGGGATGCCCGCGATCGCCGTTTAAAAAGTTACGTCGTCGGCCATTCTGTGCCAACGGTTGGGTCATGCAGCAAGAGGGTCAACGTCCTTGGTCTCTCCCGCCCACCAAAATTCCCCCAGGAAAGGACGCATTCCTCCGCATTTCCCTGCAGTTTTCCCCTAATTAGTTTCATTGCATCAGATGCAAACGAAAAGGGGGCCAGACAACGAGAGAGATGTTCTTTACATCCGAAAACGATTCCTGGTCTTCGGTTTGAAGTTGACTACCAATTAATTCTTCACGGCTTGTAGTCCATGTGTGACGTAGTTCTCGATTTTATACGAAGCTCAGCTTTAATATCAGATATTCTTTCATGAATTTTTAATTGAAAATTATCCAAGAAACACGTTGCTTAATAAATTAAAAATGACCAGTGTGAATTAGCAGTTTACGTGTTAAAACCTCGAAAGAAATCTCATCTAGGTGTTTGTTGTTTTTAATTCGCGAACTTCACATTCTGTTTAAATAGAAAGCATTGTACTTGAGGTAAATATTTAAGCTCTGTGTGGAAGCCTTGCAAACCTTGGTTTGGTTTATTTAATTAATAGCCTCGAGGGCTATCTGCCTAATGGGAGGGATGCCTTCGTGGAGGACCTTTCTGAGCCAAACTGGTTTGGTTTAGTTTATTTAATTAATAGCCTCGAGGGCTACCTGCCTAATGGGAGGCATGCCTTCGTGTAGGACCTTTCTAAGGGAAACTGGTTTGGTTTAGTTTATTTAATTATGGCAAAGCATACTAGGGCTATCTGCCTAAGGGAAGGGATGCCTTCGTGAAAGACCTTTCTAAAGGAAACTGGTTTGGTTTATTTAATTATGGCAAAGCACACTAGGGTTATCTACCTAAGGGGAGGGATGCCTTCGTGAAAGACCTTTCTAAAGGAAACTGGTTTGGTTTATTTAATTATGGCAAAGCACACTAGGGTTATCTACCTAAGGGGAGGGATGCCTTCGTGGAGGACTTTCTAAGGGAAACTGGCTCGTATACACGTTACAAATGAGGAAACCCACGAAAATGCCCATGCAGCCAGCCCGTTCGTGGGGTTCGAAACTCGGACCGAACTACCAGTGTTCAGCGACTTTACCACTCGGCCGCAGGGGAGCGCCTTGCAAGCCTTGTATAAAATAAAAGCTCAGCTACATTTTGAATAATCAAATCTTCTCTTTGTACTAAATAAGCTCATAATTAATTTACGGTGAAATAATATGGCAAAAAAAAATTTTTCCTGTCACTTCCAAATGTAATGTTTTTATGTTCTCCATCTTTAATTTCTGGGAGTTAAGTTTTTAAATTAGTAGGCCCTTTAAATATTTTTAAACTAAAAGGTATTTTTAATCTTAACGATATTTTATTTTTTTTAATTGAATGTTAATTTCTTTATGCTAATAGACTGTAATCTGATGTTTTCAGGTTTTTTTAGTCCAAAGGGATTTGAATCCCGAAGGACTATTAGTTTCGTTTTGGCATTTTGCGTCGGACTCATAAATGTCGGTTCACT